TCTTGCATTGCCCATTTGAGGAGACAGCTGTTATTAAAGTCATTTTCTGATATAAGACAGACATTATATTTCCTTCTCCCGGGAAGTAAATCCTAGTTAATTTATATGAATAATACTGCTAGATGGCTCTAGTGAGTTTAAAATTATGCAACACTTCCATGGATATGGCTCCTGAGATTCAGCAGCTGGGTGGGAAGGCCATTGGCCTTGGTTGTTTTATCTCAATCTAGATAAGAATAGTAAAGATCTATGGGATTATCATAAAAGCTGTTTCCCAACAGTGGATCCTAACATCACTCCACTTTAACAAATCCTCCATAACTTCCAAGGCTAGCTCCATCCTTTTCTTTCTTTCTTTTTTATTTATTTATTTATTTATTTATTTAAAATTTCCACCTCCTCCCATCCTCCCATTTCTCTCCCATTCCCCCTACTCCCCCTCCCCCTCGCTCTCCAGTCCTAAGAGAAGTCAGGGTGTCCTGCCTTGTGGGAAGTCCAAGACACCCCCCTCCATCCAGGTCTAGGAAGGTGTGCATCCAAACAGACTAGGCTTCCAAAAAGCCAGTACATGCAGTAGAATCAAAATCCAGTGTCATTATCATTGGCTTCTCAGTCCACCCTCATTGTCAGCCACATTCAGAGAGTCCGGTTTGATTCCATGCTCATTCAGTCCCAGTCCAACTGGCTTTGGTGAGCTCCCATTAGATCAGTCCCACTGTCTCCATGGGTGGACGCACTCCTTGCGGTCCTGACTTCCTTGCTCATGTTCTCCCTCCTTCTGCTCTTCATCTGGGCTCAGTTCAGTGCTCCAATGTGGGTCTCTGTCTCGATCTCCATCCCTCACCAGATGAAGGTTCTATGGTGATATGCAAGATATTCATCAGTGTGACTGTGGGAGAAGGCCAGTTCAGGCACCCTCCCCTCTGCTGCCCACGGACCTAGCTGGGGAAATCCCCTTGGACACCTGGGAACCCCTCTAGAGCCAAGACTCTTGCCAACACTAAAATGACTTTGCTTTCTTTATAGAAGAGAAAGTCTAATCTGATTATTCTAATAAATTATGCTTCCCTCAGTATAAGCTTTCAGAATTAACAACAGGAATACTACCCTGAAATAAATGTCCAGACATATATAGCTTCACTACCAAATTCTACAACACATTAAATAATATTTAATACAAATGCTTCATAAATCTTTTCAAAGACAGAATGAGAATAATTACATTTCAATGCCTATTTTATGAACCCTTAATTCCCTCAGCAATGTTTATTGTTATCACATCCAGTTAATACCATGCTAAATGTTGTCAGTAGTTCAACTGGACAAAAGAGAAATCAATCAAAAACTAAAGGTAAAATCATTTGTATCCATTATGACATAATAATGAGCATGAAAACTCAAAGTAATAAGTAATATTTCTTAAAAACTGAGTATCTTTAAGAGAAGCACAGGACCAATGTATAGAGGCTGGCTATACCTCCACCCTACTCAGAAACCCACCATTGATGGTAGGTTTTGTCTAAATCAAAAAATAGAATACTTAAGAAAACTTTTTGGTAAAATGATGGTAAGGTATATATACTAAAAACATAAAAATATTGAGGGAAATTGTTGAAAACAGGGTAAATTAAAGGGCATCTGAACCATCATTGATTCTTCATACTGTAAAAAATGACAGAGTCCAAAGTTGGTCTTCAAGTTCAATAAGCAACCTCCAGAATGAAAGAATTTAAAGTCTTTTTCCACATATAGATGGGCAAGTTGGTTCTAAAATCCATGCAGGATAGTAAGGCTAACCAAACAAATAAGCAAACAAACACACAAAAAACAAAGCTTACAAAAGAAAAAGGGGGAAATGCTTTGCTATTTCAATACTTGACTCAATTTCTTACTCTCATAGAGGCACCTGTATAGGTTAATGAAACTGAATTGAGAGAGAGCAATGTAGCTGCAAGATGGTTCCAAGATTCCTAAATCAGTGAAAAGAATCTTTTCTATAAATAGGGATGGGGTTAGCGACACAGTTACATGCAAAAGAATGTACTTTACTACTTCTTAAACCATAAACAAAAAGTTAAGTTAAAAAGCTTAAAATCCTTAAAACCATAAAGCTCCAAAGGGAAAAGAAAGTTGTCTTCAACCATTATTCCCCTTTGGGTTGCCCTTTAAATGTTCATCTCTTTGTTAACATTTCCAGTTTTTCCATATATATTATTCCACAGTGCATGCAGCTCTTCTTGTCAGATGTCTCATGGATCCAACATCTTCTAACGTCTCAGCTCAGACCAGGCTTCTCTCTCTCACGAACATCACACAGCTGCCTCCTGTCCTTTCAAGGCCTTCATGAGGAGGCCCCCCTGACACGTGCTGTCTGACATTGATAGCTTTCTGAACCCCAGAGGAAAATCCACAACTCTTGAATTTTCCATGCCTCCAAAGCCACTGGCACATGGACCTCACTGCTAAGTTCATCTGCCTGCCTGGGCTAGACTCTGAGCCCCCTTTGACTATATTAGCATCAGCTTTTGTGCACTGAAGCGCTTGTTTCCTAGGAGAAAGCAACTCCATAGGCTTTCTCTGTCTCTAAGTTGGAAGTTTATCTGGTTGGGCTTTTGTCCAGAGCTCACCTTCCCCACTGTTCTAGAGAAGTGCAGGCCTTCTCTTGATGCCAGAAATTTCCTTACAGTTGCAGCCTCTTTAAGCACACGCCTTGGCTGGAACATTTTGCTTTCTAGTCCTCTTTTCCTCACCAAACTATATTTTTTTCCTGCCCCGCTAATACGTTTTCATTATAGAGCCTTGTAAGGTTTATCAATAATAACTATTGCACAGACTCAATGTTACGCTGTCTTTAAATTTCTTCCACAAAATAATCATAGAAATTAATTTTTAATTCAGACTCTGAAACCTGGTAAGTGCCATATTTTAAAACCTCCGTAACTACCTCAAACAATATCATAAATTGGAGATTAATGTTCAAACATGTGAACCTATGGGGGACACCTCTAATATGAACTACCAAGAATATGTACAAGGTAACTCCTAATTATCCCTGTTGTATGACTGTATTCTCTTGTCAGAGTCTGTGATGTCTGACTCCCAATGAGGGAGAAAGAAAAAAAATGGGGACAGAATGAAGAAGGAGTGGGGGAGACAGCTTGCCTCAGCAAAAGTGGGGGGGAGGTTGGAAGTGGGCGGGGCTTGTATCTTAAAGGGACAGGGTACCCAGGTGACAGACCAGGCCAGCAGATTATAACAAAAGGTAGTTATTTTTGTCAATATTTTTTTGGTCCATGAAAACTTTCTCTATGAGGAAATGATGGAGAAGACTGCATGCCATTCAGAGATCCCAGATACTGAGAAGAAGGACGAGAATAATTTAGTCTCAAATGTTAGTTTCTTCAAAAGGAAATATTTTTATGTGAAGGGAAGCCAATATATACTTGGTGATGTAGAGAGAAGACTGCAGGTTTTGAACGATCACTGATATTCCTCTTTTTATCTCTTTCCCTTGCACATGTAGCACACTTTCCAATTTCCTTCCGATCAGATGAGTCACAGGACTGTGCTGTACTCAGCAAACTGTGGGAAAGGGCTGAAGACCACCGGTGGGTCAAGCTTTTAGAATATTTCTTTCTCCATGCTCGCTTTTGACACCCACACAACAGTGCGAAGTAGAGCAATTGGGAAAATAATGTCAAACGTGAAGGGAAATAGAGGCTCCTGGTCATACAAATGCAGCTATGGTGGCCTCACAAAATAAACTTCTGTGGTTCTAAGTTGGCAGAATTGTATTTCAGGCTTCAAAATCCCAACATTTTCACATATATGTATATATATGGATTAATTATATGTATCAAATATGTATGGTGCCTATGTATCAATTATCAAT